TGATTTTTCAGACCAAACAGACTGGATGATGAATCTCCAGCAAGCGGGTAGAGAACCATCCATTTGGTCTTCTGGTGAATTAGCCAACCATCATGGCATCATGATGAGAACACCGAGCTTGAGCATGTCAGGGGCCAAAGGTTGGGTTGGCTGGGTCAGGATGCAAATGACACACACGTGCATTGGAAATAGTCAAAGATACCATTTGCCCTGAGTGTGGAGGGACTCCATACAACAGATGCTTCAGCATCTGAAACCATCAGATGGAGCACGGGCTCTCCGTTCCAGGCAATAAAACAAATCATTTAAAAATAGAGAAGGGCTTTGAGCTTTCTCTTTCGTGGGCAGAGTTTGCACATCATCACCTAAAGCCCCAAACAGTTTGAAAAGATTCTGGGCTGAAAGAGAGTTGGCGGGTTTATGGTTCATTAGCCAAGGCAGTTAGGTGTGGGCTTGGTGTGTCATGTGCTGCAACTCTAGCAATCGGGTAAATTCGACAGGCTAACTGTGGGTTGGCCCCGTCTGTGAACAAAGCACGCACAGTGGGTGGAGTAAATTAAGCCAGCACTGGATGAAGTGTGCAAATCATGTTCTGGTTTAAGGCTGATGCCTTTGAAAACTCGACCTGCTTATACATGAAGAGAACAGACAGGAGTTCAAAACGGGCATCTCTAACTTGGTGCTCCAGATGTGTCAGGCGCCCACAACCATAATCGCTAGCCAACACAGGGCATTCTCATTTAGCCTCCCCAACAGTATTTGATGGCTTTTTAAGAGGCATTTGTAAAATTTCTTGAAATGATGTTCTGTGACTTGTGCAATGGGTCATTACTATGGAAACAGATGCAGATGTATTCTCTAAAGGGTCCGTCGGTGGATTTCTCCTAACTTTTTGTGACTTTCTCACTGGCAGGGAGAGAAGTGGGTCAAACATGGGTCTAACTGCAGGTTTAAGGAAGGAATAATAATTTGTGGAAATCTTAGGTCTCTCAGTGCTGGCAACAGAATTTAGAAAGCAAATGAAGACAGAAATTGAAAATAGGAAAAGGCCTTTATTCACAAAAGGTCTCAGACTGGGTATAATAGAAAATTGTGTGTGTGTGTGTGTGTGTGTGTGTGTGTATAAATAATAAATGAATCTTTGGACAATCTAATCCTAGCTATGCATATCTAGCTGTATGACCTCTATTATGTTTAAACATTTTTTAAATTAATACAAAACAAATTGTAATGTAAGACCCTAGAGTTGCAGGTCCGGGCTGAACTTTTCTTTGTTTAGTTGCATTAATTGTTGGGTTCTTCCGATTCTTTGAACCTGCTTCTCTTTCTGAAGTTGTTTTGTTACCAGGTTAGGTAAGATTATCAGCAAAGCAAGTTCCAGGAAGATTTAAGAGCCCAACAATTTAACCTTGAACCACATCTATTTTCTGTTAGGGTGAGTTGGCTTTAAGGCAGCTGCAATCACCAGAGTCCTAATTCTTTTCTTCTTCTTCTCCTTGATCTCTTGTTGTAGGCAAAGGTGCGGGCGAAACCCTGAATTTGGGAAATGAGCAACCCACCAGGGCCGATGCCAACGGAGAAGTGAACAGGGGAACACAGTGGCCAGTGTAAGTTTCTTTCAATTGTCTGGTCATTTCATTCCCTATTAAGTAATATTTATACGTTAGCATTTCCCTGCTGAGACTTGACCTGCCCTTGGCCAGGAATACACTCTCTCTCTCACTCTCTTTCTCTTCTAGTTCATGCAAAATGCATGGTGGCTAACCTGATTTCTTTTCCTTTCTTTTGTAAGGTTGACAAAGCCAACGTGGCTTTTCTAGAAATCTGCCCGGAGGCTTGGCTTGATCTGCATCCCTCTCTCGAACACAGCCTGCGAGAGAAGGATGCAGCCTTTCGCATCCACACCCCGCATCTGTGTCTTGGTGTTCCAGCAGGCACCTCCTTTGAAGCAACTCGAAGCCCTAGGCTTTGAGTGGGGTGTACCATTTGAATTTACCCCCTCGCAATGCTCATGACCGAGTAGCTGGGTTCACACAACTTAACTCAGGACACACAACTTCACTTTGCACAGGACACTGCCCGCCAACCAATGAATGCGTGTGATGTGCTAAGCAGAAACCAATGGGCAAAGAAAAAAAATCCAAGGCTAAGTAAACCCACCTTACTATGCTGGGCCAGTTCTGCCACTCGGTTTATAACTGACCTGGTGGAACATGTTGTGCGAACCCAGCAATGCTCCAGCCTTTAAGGTTTGGCACCATTTCCTCTAGAGCCATGTTTCACAACCTCAGCAAGTTTAAGATGTGTGGACTTCAAAGTCCACACATCTTAAAGCACGCTGGCTGGGGAATTCTGGCACAGGATGCCTTTGAAATGCAGAGTCTTGGTTGCAAACTCCCCCCTTCGCTCCTTCTCAAATCTTGAGCATCCCCACCCGACATCCGCCCCCTTAGCGTTCCTTTTCTTTAAATCATAAACTTGAGAATACAGTAGATCCTAAGTATTTAAGGTGGTTTTATCCTGAAACTACTGTAGTTCAATTGTAAATAATCTGTAATCTTGTACAAAGACAGAAGATCTTCTAAGGAGGATGGAAAAGGGGGTGAACACGCAGGTTTGAATTTGTTTACTACTGTTGTCCAGTCTGCAAACAATGGCCAGCTGCTCATTCAACTCTCTGGCCAGACACTTATGCAAGAGAGGCCTCTGCTGGCAAAACTGTAAAAAGCATATTCCATATCAACATAAAAACACTCAGGGTGGGTAGAGGAGAGAAAGCCGTTTTATCGGAAGTTTTCAGGATTAGTTAGACCAAATCCAGCATGCCAGACTGGTTTTGTGAACCATTCCAATGTTTTTTCTTAGCATAACAAGGATGGATATAATCAGTTTGGCTGTAGGTTGATCTTTGGAGGCAGCTGCCAGCCCTTTGAGGTAGGCAGCAGGAGGGGCAGGGGGTTCCATGAACGTTCTTCATTGTGTGTAGTAACAAAATCTTGAAGGCTTGTCGGGATTTCTCTCTACTCCATCTTATACCAAACAAAATCACGGTGAGTTGTTTTGAGTGTTGTTTTCATGCTTTCTTCTTTCCGGATCAAGCAATCTTTTTTGAAGTTCTTTGTTCTGTTACCCCAGATAATGAAGACCTGATGTGTACCATCAACCTCCAGCCCTTTGGGATTTGCATAACCCCACTTTCATCACACTTTCTCTGCTGGTCCCAATGCTGCTTCTGATAAAATGGCAGTGCGCTTATCCTAAAATGTAGTTGCTACTGCTTCCCCCAAAGAGTTAATCAAGGGCTTCATTAAAGTTAGTTGGCCACACATTAAACTTCCTGGTATTTCCAGTTGCTCTTCTCTCTCTGGATTTCTGTGTGGAGAGACTGATTCCACACTGCATCATCATGTTCTTGAACAGTGATCCCTACACTGATTCCTCTTTGATGGTCTAGAATCCCCCTCAAACTGGCATCTTTTCAGCAGCCCAAGATGTCCGATTCCATTGGCCATTCTTTCTCTTCTGGCCTTCTCCTTTTCTCCAAGTTTCCCTCAACTGCTCCTTGCTGGCTTCATACCTCATTTCTACTCCCCTCCGTACATCTCATGAATACTCTTTCTAAATGAAAGAGTGTCTGTTCTTCTCACAGCTCTTCCTGAGATTTGGGTTATCAACCACAAGTACGTTTTTTATGCTTGGGTGGTCAGGATGGCAGATGGTGTTTCCCTTCTCCATTCAATCAGAATCTCTTTCATGGACACCAATCCATGTTGTTTTGTCAATAGCATGAAATGGCTTGACATTGCCTTGGGCTTCCCAGAACGTCCTGGAGCCCTGATTTTCTTGTGGTCACCCAACCAGCTAGTAATTCAGCTGATCTTGCTTAGCCTTTGAGCCTAGACAAGTTTTGCCAACTGCTAAATTTGACCCAATTATTATGTGGTTACTCTTTGCTTGGATTATTTTTTCTTGGCAAAATATGACCTTCTGAGTTTGTGTATTCAGTGCCACATACTGTACCTGGGGTGTTACTACTGGATCACTTTATTATGTGCTTTACACAACAGACTAAAGCTATAATGCAGCTTTGTTTGGGGCCTGTGTGTTATATGAAACCAGCCATTATGGTTTCTAAACCTCAGTCTATGGCTTGTGTGCTGTGCAGACATCCAATTGTGGCTGAGTCAATAAACCACAATACCAAAAATTGTCTTAGTGCAGTGCATGAAACTAGCCTTTGTAGGTTGCAAATTGTGGTTTTACAGCATAACGTGATGTGTGAATTCAGTCAAATGTGGCTTAGTATACAAATTGCACCTTGGTATGGCATGTGATTCCAGCTGTTATGGGCTGAAAACAATGGTTTACGACTTGGCCAGATGTATGAAGTCACCCAGTCGTGGTTTATTCAACACGCCACTGTTAAGCAAACTGTGACAACATCCTTGTGATCCTAACCAATCTATCCCAGGTTTGTCTCATCCAAAGCTTCTAACAGGCAAACCAACATGTTTTGCCAGCAGTGAGCTTTAATTAAAAAACCAGTTCCCCCTTGGCAATCCCCAACATGAAATATTGGGAAGATTGGCAAGCTGTATAAGATTCTCTCAGGTTTTAGACAATTCCCAATATTTCTTTCGCCGCGCTGGCTAGAGCTCAAAGCCGTAAGGACACGCTTGAGTAAAGAGCAACACTTTCAATTTCTTTGAAATATATTTAAAAAGTACTCTGATTTCTCTTCAGACCATGTAAATCTTCCTCTCCCTTATTTAAAAAATATGTTGATGGGGAAGAAGCTTGGAAACCCTTCAAACATCCTGTCCCTGGAGTTTGATTCACGAGGAGCTTTTCTCCTGCGTAGGTCTGCTGCCAGATGTTCTGCCAGTATACTGTACAAGTATAAATGTGGAGCACTGGAGGAGCCCCCCCTCCACATTTAAATGTAATTTAGTCTCTGCAACGAAGCTGAGATTTGCCTATCTAATTCTTTTTAGGGACAGGTGGAAAGAGGATCTCTCTGCTGACAATTTTTCAAGTGGAGAAGGGGTGATTGGGATTTCTGATTAAATTCCATCCTGGGTGAAAAAGTATTGGTTTGGCTGCCAGAAAGCTTTGTTTCCAGGGCTGATTGAAATTAAACAAGGAGCCTCACCTGACATTTCATCAACAGCATCAACAGATTCAGATACCTTCTTACTGACTCGTAAGGCCGATACCAAACAGATCTGTGTCCGTTTCCATCCCCAACAGGGTTTCGGTTGGCCTTGTTCCTTCAGAACTGTTTTGAATACCTTTATGGAAAGAGCGTACCAGAGGCTGTGCGTAAATGTCCAGGATTTATTCTCTGGCTCTTGAGGGCCTGGGTCTATAATTATTTTAAATTATGAATAAGACCTAATGTATATGCAGTCTGGCAGGGGCCCTGTCATACAGTGCATGTCTCCACAATTTAAAAAAAAGTCATTTAGGCTGCTTCGTGCTGAATGAATGCCACTGAACTGGATGGGAATTGCTGCTCGGTAAACAAGGCTAGAACTTGATAATTTGGTTTTTTTTCAGTAGTGCCGTTAAAAATGTACTCTATTTTTTAAAATTCTCTATTTAAAAAAAAAAAAAAACTACCCCTGCAATTCGTTTGATGTGGAAAAATCACTTCAAAGGGATTTTTTCCCCCTCAGAGAATATTTTGGTGAAATTTGTAATCATTTTAATCATGGACTATCACTGATCAGGATTTCACTGAAGGCTGGATGTGAATGTCCTGCTGTTTATTATAGAGCCCTCTCTTTAGTATCCCACAGTTTCTCTAGTTTCCCATGTTTTTATCATGCTCCAAGGGAAGACATTAGACAACAACAGCTCCTGGAGCACTTTTCAAGTTTAGAAAGTACAGATATCGGAACCTGCAGAAGGATGGAGAGATGGATGATCAAAAATTGCGGCACCAGTCAAATTCCCTTCTAGAGACCTCCTACCGTTAAATCAGCTCTAATATTCCCCCAAGAGAAATGACCAAGAAAGTTTCAAGCACCCTGAGCATAAAGTGGAAAAACAGAAGCCTCTTTTTTCAAGGGCTGTAAGGCAGATTTTGGCATGGTGACAGCGTTAAGCTTGCTCTCTTTCTGGACGGCGGATTAATCATCTGTCCCTTAATCAATGCTTCTTCCCCCCACGTTGGCGAAGCCTCTGATTCTCCATGAAGCACTTGGGCATGGCAGAGCAGCGAAGCAAATGCATTGGACACGAGCAATATGTTGTTTGGGGTCTCTCAGGCACTGTACAACTGTCTAGATTTGCACAGGGGCTGAAGAAGGCGATGGTGCTCCTTGGCTGTGCTGCAAGGCTTGGGAGACGACCCAAGAAAGCAGGTTTTGCAGCAGATTTGACCACAGCTCCATCTGGTGCTGGATGGCTTCTTGGTGGACACGGGGGAGAAGTCAAAATCAGCAACCTGTAACTCAGCAACAAGACAAAATCTCTGTGGGACCTGGGAGACACCCAGCTGCTGGAGAATTAGCTCTCAACTAACCTGGGCTGATCTGGTCCCTTTGAATCTTGAAGAAGGGAGCATCGCTCCCAAGATCTATATGGAACCGAGACTGGGACCCCCAGCACACAGTGTCTGGGCTGCATCTTTCAGCTATGCCTTTCCCCCAAACAGCTCTAGCACACGTTAAGCAGGTTATCTGAAGGACCACCTTTTCCCAGTTTCATCTGCCCGACTCACCAGAGTGGGGAGGCAGGGTATGTACGGGTCCCCCCTATTAAGGACGTCCATCTAGTGGAACCGAGAATAAGGGCCTTCTCCGTGGTGGCTCCCTCCCTGTGGAACATCATCCCCGTGGAGATAAGACTGGCCCCCACCTCAATGCTCTTTTGCAAGGCCCCGAAGACATGGTTTTGCCAGCGGTCTGGGGATCCCAGGTCGATCCGGAGCCCATCAAATGGCCAGTGTAAATGAGGTGGTGTTGCCAGGGGGGTGAGGGGGTGTAGTGGGTTTTGTATTTGGGATTTTTACTCTTGTAAGCCGCCCAGAATCACGTGAGTGAGCGGGTGGCCATATAAATTGTTCAAATAAATAAATAAATCCAACAAGTTGGCCCCGAGAAGTCCTCGTTTATGGCTAGGGTTGCCTTTGGAGGCCAGTGCATGATGAAGCCATAGAGATCTCGGGTTGGAAGGCCGGGGAAGAGATTTCCAAAAGCATGATCAAAGCTGTCCAGCTCGCTGGCTCAGGTCCAGGGAAATAAAAACAGCTCACCTCCACCAGATCCTTTGGTTGCATGGTGCTTCGAAAGGTCACGTAGACGGCTAAACCCAGTGTGGCCGGCAAAAGGAGGATGCAGGGCAGGACGAAAGAAGCTGGGTTGATGCCTGTTGAAGGACAGAAGGAAAAACCTTGGGGTAGAACCAGCAGCCTTCTGCAGGCCCCGATTAGGCAAGGCTGAGCTTACATTCACAACTGACCCAAGTTCCTCTCCATTCCAAGGATTGTGATAGCCAAGTCAAGCTTCCAAGGTCAAGAGAAGGATACTTTAACACAGTGTTTCTCAACCTGGGCAACTTTAAGACCTGTGGACTTCAACTCCCAGAATTCCCCAGCCAACACTGCCTTAACATGTTCTATTTATTATTGGCTAGATTTACATTCCCCCACCTCCCGTTTTTCTTCCTCTCAAAGCAAGGTAGCCCACTCCCTCTCCGATTTTTGCCATCCCCCTCCAACGACAACTCTATGGGGTAGGTTGGGCAAAGAGAAAGCGGCTGGCTCAGAATCCTACAGCGAGCTTCCATGCCTGATGGTGGACTTGATTCAGGTGCTCCCCAATCCCAACCCAAACCCTTTTGGCTTTGAAATATACTTTTTGCAAGAGTGAGTCGTTACTGCGTTTGTTCTTATCCGAGATTGGCCGCCGCACAAGCAGACACACGTCTGCCTCTCATTCAGCAGAACTCCTCTTACGGACACAGAGAGATAAGTGCCAATGTTAAGCGGGCGCTCATTACGAACACACATCCTTCCTCGCGGAAAGTCCAAACAATCCACTTTAAATTATTGGGCGTAAGGGTAGGAAAATCACCAAAGAACAAAGCATCTAACTTCCTGCGTGATTATTCTATTTTCATTCACTAACCCACTCGGGAATCTGAATTAACTCTATCGTAAAGAAGGAAGCTTTACAAATTTGCAACATGCAACTCCATTTGCAAAGCCAGGAGGGGGACTTAGTTATTCTGGCGTTCCAGCAGATGATTTTGCTCCTGCACTGGAAAATGGGACTTGTAGAGTTCACTAACTAGTCTGTACGTGCAATTTCAATATTAACTTGCGCACTAATTATCTATCTGAATGGTACATGCCATCCGCCTGCCCTTACGTACTCATAGCAGAGAGATATAGATGTTATATTATGTCATGTCCCCTGTCAGCCTTGCGAGGTCGTCCAAACAACAAGCACACCCAGAAGCACTAGCTCTACAACTTGATTGTAAGGTTACATTAACAGAATCTTGCAAGTCTGAAAGTACATCTCACTAGGGAGGGTCCCTTCAGAGATGTCATAATGGCATGTGGGAAAGACCTTGGGAGACTGGGCCCAGAGACGCTGCCTATGGAATGGTCAGATAAGAGGGGGCATAGCCCACAGCTGGTTAGTGGGTGGGGCAAGAGGCTCAGAAGGGACCCTCCCTAACTTCTCAGGTTGTAAAGGAGATGGTGGAAGGATTGTACTTTCAGACTTGCAAGATTCTGTTAATGTAGCCTTACAATAAAATAGAATTAGCCCATCTGGTCGTGTTTCCTGTCTGGTAAGGCTGATAGACATTTACCACGTCCCCATTCCTTCTATGGGCTCAGCTGCTGCTCATTTGACCATTGCCCTGGTGGCTGCTCTTCCTCCTGTCTCCCAAGGTCATTCCCACATGCCATTACATCCCCCACCTACAATGTGACTTCCAAAGGGGTGGTTTTCCCCCTATTTTTACAGTGGGTAACCAGTGTGGTGTTATTACTGACCACCAAATGGCAGCACGTGACTTTTTTTTAACCATTGGGACTTCCATTCTGGGTTGAGGTTTTGACCTCCATAGAAAGATCTTGCCCTCAAGCCAAACGTATCCCACGTGGGGAGGAAGAGGAGGAAATCAAAACGGGGATGAAACAGGGTGCATATGCAAAGACAGCCCCATAGGTGCCATCCAACTCTCACCTGACGGCCTTATCTGAATCTCCTGGTAGGACTGCAAGATGTTCACCCGGTTCTCCACGCGGATGCTAAGGCAGTATTGTCCAGCGTTGCTGAAGGTGTGGTTCAGATAGTATTGTGTGCTATTTGTCACCACTAGGTGGCACTGGTCTCTTCCGAGCGGGATACACTCCGTCTTAATTAACCAGCATAAACTCAGCGGGGGGCTAAAAACAAGTGAGTGCAAAGAACAGTGAGTTCACTTTTGCTCAGAGGAGGGGGGGCCGGTGGCCCTCCAAGTGGGTCTGGACCCCCAACTCCCCTCATCTCTGACCGCTGCCCAGGCTACTTGGAGCTGGGAGCACCCCTGGAGAGCCTTTCTCATTTCTCAACACTTTGCAGATACAGCATCCTTGTGATGCTTCTGGCCCCAGATCTGCAAGCAGGAAGCCCTCCCCTGGCCGACCCTGGGTCTACATTGGCAGGGAAAAGTGCTGCCAGGTACCCACTGGGTACGGTGGGTCAACTCATTCCAACAGCTGCCCTGGGATGATTCTCCTCGCCTGGCAGAAATTGCCACGAAAGAGCGGACCAGCCCCAATGGCCCAACCTCGTTCTCTTGCTGATGACTGGGAGAAACGTTTTGCCTGGAGACAAGACTCTTTTTTTGGCTGGGCTGGAATGTTTTAAAAAGGCGCAGGTTGCCCTTTGCTCAACCAAATCAAGAGATGAACTGTGTCCTTTCCACCCTGAGTCGGACTGCAAATATTAACAGTCCTTTGAGGACAGCAGTGAGTTCTCCTTCTGCCCCACACATTGCCTAGAGGTTTGCTTCTGCTGACATTTAAGCTAACATTGGATCTATCAATTCAAATATATAAATATAGAACTCTTTCATTTTTGTTAAATTTGCTGCATCTCTTATCTCTTATTTCTTATCTCTTATTGGCAGTCATCTGCAAGGAATTAAGTTGGTCTGCATTGATCCAGTTGGGATATTTGAATGCCCTTTGCATTAGAACTCTCAACTGGATTGATTTAAAGTCTAAGATCCTCCTGGAGGATGATACGATGATGATCCAGGAGCCATCCAAAGATGGAAATAATGATATTGTCCAGCATGGTTTGACCATGTCCACCTGCCCCTGAAAGTGCCCACCAACTGTCTTGGCACAGCAATTCCCAACCAGCCTGATCAACCATCATGTATTTGACATTTCCCGTGCCTAAAAATGGAGACTACTATTCCAAGAAGAAATGCAAAGAGTACAGCTTGGGGAAAATAGCTGCAGATGTTTTGGATTTCTTAAAAACCCATTACTCACCTCCCTTGGATATGCAGAGATAAATTTAAGTTTTCCATCACATGAGCTTCAGTGGAGCCTGTGATGTTAATGCTTCTTACAGCATCTGGGAAAGAGAGATAAAAAAGACGAGATAACAAGAAATTGCTATCTTTGTCCTAACTTATTAAACTGAGAAGTCTCAAAGTTTGACTCAAAATTTTCCTGGTCTAAACAATCCGCTGAGTAGCAGAAGTTTTGTGTTTTCCTTTTCCCTCTGTGTGTGTGCTTTTCCTTTGGTGCTGCAAACCTGAGGGCGGGACTTTCTCAATTGTATTATTTTCCAAATGGTGTATAAAGGTTATCAAAAACACTACTACTATTAATGATCAAAATGGGCTGTGGAACAGGAATAATTAAAGCTGACATTTGTGGAAAAAGAAGCCAATCAGTGGCTGCTGATGTTAGGGACTGTAGGTCAAGGATGGAGGAACATCTGGTTGTCTAGACCAGTGTTTCTCAACCTCAGCAACTTTAAGCTGTGTGGGCTTCAACTCCCAGAATTCCCCAGCCAGCCATGCTTAAAGTTGCTGAGGTTGAGAAACACTGGTCTAGACACTGATGAACTACAATGGCCATCATCCCCCATCATTAGACCCACAGACTGGGGCTACTAGGAATTGTAGTTCAGCATGACCTAGAAGATCATAGCTAATTCTCCTTTGCTGTAAGTAATCACATTTCTAAGTGAACATTTGATAGTATTCCATCCAGGGCTCAGCTGCATAGAAAGGGGAAGAGGTGTATAAGACAGACTGATGGGGTATTCTCTGTGGCCCTGTAGGAGAAATTCCTCCCACAGATTCCTCCAAGGAATTGTTTAAAACTGGAGACCGGTACCCAATTCCAATGAAACACAGCGGAGTTAACACGGTACCGGAGGCAGCTGAGGCTAACTTTAAAAAGGACAAGGATGGAATAGACAGCTGTGTGTTTTAGAACATGCATGTGATTGGATCTAGCGGCAAAATATTTGGCTGGATGTAGCAGCACATGGTGTTTACTGAGGGAATTGGGGTGGGACTGTGAGGTAATTGAGGGCAGGACTACAAAGACAATCATTCTGAGAGAACAAAGAGATAGTATTTCCTGAACATGGTTTCTTTCTAGGGAGTTACTACTAAACTGGCCTTGGTTCTCAGAGCAACGTTTGCCTCCTAATTTCTTCTGGTTTTATTAACGTTCCTTGGCCCTCTGTATGTTTTATGGCTGAGCTGACAAAGCGTGTTGTTTCTGAAGTCTCTGGGAAGGTAATTAGAGAAGGGAAATGTTTTTGATTTATTTCACTTGTCCTAACCAGCACCATATTTTCTCCTACAGCCCCCAAGGTTTTCAAACCCTGGATCTTGCCTTGAGTTTCTTGCTCTGCTTGGCTTTCATCCAACAACTTCAGTGTCGTGGTGAAATGTCCTGTTTTCTGGGCAACTTCTGTGGGATGCTCCACGCTTGTCCCTTCTCGCCTCCATTCTGCAATGACATCGAGGCGCACCGTCCAAGTCCCGAAGGTAGAGTAATTATGGTAGATGGCGGGCTTTCCTGTTTCTGCTGTTGTCCTGCGTTGGATGGAAAACATGGACAGTCAACCTCTTCTGTCATTAGATGGGGCTGGCCTAACTGTTTGGTAAAAGTTAGGTAGCCATATCAGAACAATCAGTTCAGGATGTCATGAAATGAAGTTCTCAATGGCTTGGAATTTCTGTGATTAAATTTATCATTTGATCCCTTCACAGAACACATCTTCCTTGGTGTTCACCCAACTCTTCACATTTGAGAGTGACATCTGTGGACAGCCTGTGAAGGTGATCTCCCAGCCATACTGATATGACAATTCTTAGTCCTAATAGTTGTAATAGTGATTCCTTTCAGTAAATAAGCAAGTGGTTGCTTCTGATCTGCTGCTTTAACACACACACATACACACACACACACACACACACACTTGTGTGCTGCCCGAATTCTAATGGCTTTGGGTGGCTCACAATTAAAAAAAGAAAAATAAGGAATAAAAAAAGTACCAAGATGATACAGAATATATACTGTAAGCGTGTATGTGTGTATGTGTGTATGCCTAAAACTCAAATGTATAGGATTGGGTTCCCATATCAAGCCAAGCCATAATTAGTTTAACCATGAATTACTGAATAAACCACAGCTGGCTGGATTCACACGACCTACTAAGCCAGGTGTTTATGGCTTAGTATGTTACACGAACCATGTCACTAAAGGATAAGAGGAGAAGAAGGGCATACCCGTCTCCAAAATCCCAGCTGTAAATGAATGATGCGGACTTAAAATAATGACTCGGGTCATGAAGAGAAAAAGCCGCCAGGGCCAGAACAGCAGAGGGGTGATGGCAATCAAGTTCTTCCCAATCATTGCAGCTCTTCATCTGAGTGATGGAGAGATTCCCTATGATAAACTCTGTAAGAGAAGAGAGGAAGAATTTTTAGCCTGCCTGCATCGCACAAAGACCTTCCCATCCCCTAGGAAAGTAGTCATTTTGACATGGCCGAGAGGAGGACTTTGATGCATTTGAACTGGTACGTGCATCAACTAACTAATCAGCAAAGAAATAACATTTTATTAGATGGAGGCTACATCTGAGGGGTGAAGCCCCAAAATAGATATGTAGCCATTTAGATTCTGGAAGATTATTTGCAATCTTGGTAAGTCAGCCTCATTGAAATCGCTGGCACTTCTGGGTGAACAAGGACTGGGATGACAGATTGTGCTAAGCCATAACTGGTTGAAGCATAGTTCTTGGGAAAAGCAACTGCCTGGATTTGCACAATTTAAGCTCAGCTATAAACCGTGGTTTCTAAATCCTACTGGCTGAGCCCGCAGGTAAGGTTCTGGGTTCAAACAAACCACATTTATGGCTTAACATGATATGTGTGAAGCTCATTATGTATTGCACTGTGTTGTACCTTAGATCTTCCTGACTAAATTCCAAGATGAAGAAGAGTTTAAAATAATTTAAATTATTTGGTAAATGTGAATCTAAAAAAAAACCTTACTAAAATAAAACATTGCAGACAGTGTTATCTAATGGAAGCATCTAATTAAACCAGTTTAGTATTGGAATGGAGACCACCTAAATTCTAGGGCTGTGAGTTAGATTGGGAAATAACAACAACAGTAATACAACATCCTGGAAGAAGGCAATGAAGAACCATTTCTGTTGCCAAAAAACTATATAAATGTGTTCATGAAATCTCCAAAATCAAGTTAGAATCCAAGGAAACTTTACCTTTGAATTCACAGTTTTCATGTTTCTGAGTGTTTTCAAAAGTCACGGCTTCTGAGATGTGCCTTCTTGAATATAATCCATTAATTGGGTGAGTTCATAAGATGAACCCCTCTGGACCTGACTAAATGTAATGGTGAATTAATTTTAGCTGCTTTCCTTTCTGTAGTTCTTTAGAAGAAAAGAGTTCAGTGTGTTTTGTTTGAATCAGACATGGATGGGATCACACTATAACACAGTGCTGTTTGTGGGGTCCTTGGTGCTCTTTGAGCTTGGTGGTTTCCTTGCAGACATTTCATTATCCAACTAGGTAACTTCATCACTGCACTGATGATGTTACCCAGTTGGGTAGTCTGCAAGCAAACCACCAAGCTCAGAGAGCACCAGGGACTCCACAATTCAACCCTGAGCTACAGATATTCTCTTCTATTGGGACAGTAGTTTCCTGGGTGTGAGCCCCATTGAATGTATTGGCATGCACTTTTAAGTAGACACAGGTAGGATTTTTCTCCTGGAGAACCCATCGGTGCATGCAAAATTAGAATTACCTGAAACCTGTAGGATGGTTAGATTTCTTACAAGGGTCCCACAAAACCAACAGTCAGGGTGTGTCACCTCCACAGAAATAGGAAACGCTCCAGGAACTGGGCTAGTGACCACAATTTGGGAATTTCTCCCACACTTGATTTTCTCCACCAGAACCAGGGGGGCGTCAAACTTCCAGGCAAAATGGTACTTGGGGATGTCCGACGGTGGAAGCCCATTGTTCTTCTGGCGGAGGGTGGACTGAATCGTAGCTTGAGCTTCTGTTACAACAGGACCATTGTTGGTGACTTCCAGTTCATAGGAGGCTGTGGAAATAATACATTCTCAAAATGAAGAACTCTGGTTTCATTCCAGAGATGGATCTGAGAACGACCCTAGGCACAAAGGAGTTGTGGTTGTGTTTTCTAGAGCTACGGTGAAGGAATATGGGACCTTCTTCTGCGAATTCTTTTACTTTATCTGCTATGCTTCTTATTGGAATTTGTAGTTTCTGGTATGAACTCAATGAAACCCTGTTCTCTTACGAAAATGTGGCCCGTGTCGAAATAACAACGGGAGGGACAAGATGCTGAATCTGTTGAGGCTCATTTACCTATGTTCCATCAGCACTTGTAAAAAGAAGACGACTATTCAGACCCTCACCCAATGAACCTGGCACCATCTTCTTTGACTTTTCCTGAATACGTCCCGTCAGGTTAGGGCTTGCTCCTAGCCATCCTGGAGTTACTGTACCTATATGAAGACTGTTTCCGTCGACTTGTACTTCTTTGAGATATAGTTGTAGTATGGAAAAGAGTTGTGATCCTCATTCCCTGCCCCCCCCACTTCCAAAAACCACCTCAAATCAAGACAGAATTGAATTGTTGGGTGAGGCGCATCTTCAGCTCTGAAGGCCTGGGTGAAGAACACCCAGAGATTCATAAGAATTACAGGAAGGACTTTAGACGCCAGGGGTCGGCAACCTACAGCCCTGGGGCTGCCTCTGACTGTGATGGCTGAAAACGGGTGGTGCAATTTTCCAACATGTTGAAATAGGGGGACTTGCAGCATAAACCCTAAGAGAGGTTTAATATAGCTGTGAAAAGGAAATTCAGGGAAACACTGACCATTTTAAACAATTGCTGCATCCCATTCCATATAATGCCTAGTTCAGTCCTGTATCTTGGCTTTGCACACTCCTGACCAATTTTAGAAAAAAAAAAAAATAGGGTTTATCAGCTTCCTTTAGGTCCCTTCATTTTACACTCCTTGCTTTCCTGACAATGGGGCACACATCTTCATGGAACAACGTCGGGGTTTACTTGTCACACGAACCCATGGCTTGTTTCAACCCCAGTTGGCTGACGCGCCATCGTGGCTTGATTTTTGACTGAAAGCTTAGCTCCTGTGCAAAGCCGACCAACTGCAGCTTAGCCAACAAACCAAGTTAAAGGAACCAAGCTTTAAAGCATGAAGCCAGCTAAAGACAGCTTTTTCAGAACCCTTTTCCCCCCGAAAAGCAGCTGATCAGATGGCAGCTGCAGGAAGAAAAAATGAGGGTGGGCATCTGAATATCATACAGTGGACCACAAGACTTGTCCCCTTGGAGTGAAATGTTCACACACTAGTGTGATGAACAAACCGTGAAAGGTGACATTCAAGAAGCTATTTAAAGCCAGCAGGTCTAAAAACTGACCTAGGTTTAGAACGGGGTGGCACCCATCAGAAGCAAAAAATAAAAGCAAGGGTATTCAACATGTCACTTTTCATCCACTTTTCCCCTTCTTCTGACGATTTTAAGGTGTCTGTTTCTATTTCTGTCCTCGGGCACAGAAATATCCCCCCCGCCCAACTTTGGTTCCTGCTGGCTCATATGCTGTTTCTTGCACTTCGGTTGCCTTGCTGACAAAAGCTGATTTCTTTCTCCTCCCTGACTTGACCACTTGGCTTTTTCAGCCCCCAGACCAACAGAGCTACAGGGAACATATTGCCAAATAGGACCCCCCCCCCCGAGAAGAACATTCTAATTCGATGGCCCGGGTTCACGCCACACATTTGCCGTGAGTAGCCATCATGATGGATGGAACTGACTCAGTTTTCTGGGTTTCTGAAGCACCCTGCAAAGCATACGGACCAACAATGCTAGTCTAAACTGTAGTCAACTAGTCTGGGGTTTAGTGTGTCGTGTGGATGCAGCGGCTGTCTTGTTTAAACCCAGGGATACTGAATGGCAGGGGGGTGCTGTAGAATACCCTTAGCCTTGGAATAATGTTCGGAAGATGCAATATGCTTCTCCAGTGGGCAGGGAGGTGACGGAGGGAGCGCAATTCCGATCTGGATACTCCGTCTATCTTGATTCATTTTCTCCAGTGATCCTATTAATGAGGAGTATTTGGGGACATCCTTAGGAGGTGCCTTTAGGGTCTTGGCCAAGGCACTTGGGGCAACCCCACGGCCTCCGATTGTGCACCCCTCTTTTAATCTCATCGGACGGTGAATCTTAAAGTCATCTCCCCCTCTCCATCCACAGACAAGAGACTTCTGGAATGCCTGAACTCAATAACGCAGCCAGGGCAGATGACGTTTGAATGCATTCGCCTCCTTAAGATAATGCTGAGGGCATCTTATCACGAATTGCAGCAAGCTTATTGGAGCAGACCCTTTGCATTTCAGGATGTAGCCCATCCTGTTCTCCCCCCACCCCAAGAAATAGGGATGGATCTTACCTGCAGCTGTGGTGGCAAGGAACAGTGTCCCCCAAATCACCTGGATGAAATTCAGGGCAGAGAACAGCCGAGCCATGTCGGAGATGACGGCTTTGGAAGGAAATCTCTCCTCCTGTCTGCTCAGTGCCAAGAGTGTCAGATTTCATCTTCAGCGGGGCTGGCTTTCCTTTCCTTTTACCTTAAGGGGGGGAAAAAAAAACCAGCCCGTGGTAGCTGCCGACCTCTGTTGGCAGCCTGAGAACAGTGCGCAGTTCTTGGGCGTTCTGCATTCTTCTGCAGCGGAGGCTCCGTCTCCGCAGGAAGGTTTTTGCTAAACGTTCCGCGGCATTTCTGACGCCCAGCCTGCTTTGGAAAGAGCAATTTGTAGCCCATTCCCCGGGGCGTTATGCAGCAGAACCAACCGGGGTTTCAAGGGTCTTATCTAGGAATGAAACTTGTTCTTTGTGAGAGAGGAAGGAGTTAGGACTGGATGGGAGACCAACAGGAAATCCATGAGCCAGAGTTTCTCAACCTCAGCACCTGGAAGATGGGTGGACTTCAACTCCCCCCGACACCCCCCCCCCCCCCCCC